TCGTCATTTTCCCGCCTGTGTAGCTTTTTAGGTATGAGCTCATTGGGTATGAGTCGTACTGTGTATGAGTCATATTAGTCCAAGAGCCGGCAATACTAACGGGTATGTGATCGTTGCAATGGATAATTTCTACATAAAACAATAGTTCATAGTAACCTTTAAACCAAATGGATGGGTGGCCTCGATTCTCATGGCCGTAAAGTCGTTTTATGAAAAGATACTTCAAGAACCATAAGCGCAACAAATAAGAAGTAGTACCTTGCGGTGTAGGGGGTTCTCATCATATGCGGCAAACACTTTATTAACACAATCTCATGTTTCTTAGTTTGTCTAAAGACCTACAGCCGTATGCAAAATCCTCTTCACGGAGTCCTCTTTTAACTTTAAAAGTGACTTTGAAGGCTGTCACTTTCAAAAATTTGTATTTAGCAAGCAAAATAACGCGTGCGCTCGACTTTCAATGAGGGTTGCCATCATCTCCGGCCATCAAAATCGAGGCCACCCTATATATTATCTGAGAACACATATTAAAGAATATATCTACCAATTTTCAGCTATTGCAACGATAACATAGTTCCTTCGGAAAAAGAGGGGTAGTTTACGCCCAGCCACCAAAGGGTTGCGGCCATGAGAATCGAGGCCACCTATCCATTTAGTTTAAAGGTAACTATGAGCTATTCTTTTATGTGAAAATTATCCATTGCAACGATCACATACCCGTTAATATTGCCGGCTCTCCTACTATATGAGTGCATGAGCATTAGCGGATTTTCAATTTTGACTCTAGACGTATTTTAGCGACCAGTGAACATCATACTACACGACACATGTACCTACTTCGATTCATAACGTCATAGCCATAGGTCATAGCTACCGAAATGACAGGTCGAGTATATTTGGCAAAATGTCTAAAAGAGGACGCCATGATAGTTGTTTATTTGGGTTTGTTGAATTTCGCAAAATTTTGTGATTTTCATTTTCAATATTATTTCTCTAGTGAAGAATGTGAAGATTTTCGATAGATTGTGGAATTTTATGGGGACCCCATGCCAAAGAAAATTAAAATTACACTTTTGCGCACAAGTGAAGATTTTTTTTTTGGCAAAAAATCTCTAAAAAAATCACAGAAAACCTTGGCAACATGGGATTAAGCGTAGTCAGCTATTTGGCCCATATGCTCATTTTCGTGTATTAGAAAAAGATCCACTGACATACTACAACCAACTATCCCTCCTAGGATGGTTACTATTTTGCGGATTTTTTTTCTAATGGTTGAATAATATCTAGTATATTGTGTATTTAGGTGGAAAAGTGACACATTCTCGGCCGACGGTGTAAGTTGACGGGCGAGGCGTAGCCGAGGCCGGCGAACACCGAAGGCCGAGAATGTGCTTTTCCACTGAAATACACATACTATTTTTTCTGCGATCGGTTAAATACTTGTCAAATGTTTGTCTTTTGGTTCCAATTATTCTTCCCGGCCTAGGCCGGAAATGTGTTTCCGGTATTGTTATTCATTGATTCCTTTAGCAACTATTGAAACATAATTAAAATATGTACCAGAATATTGAGTTTTGCGGCCTGTCAACCAGTCAAAAATGCTGACTTTCTTGTCAATCGCAGAAAACGTCTATTTTTTTTAAAGATGAAAGTCAAAATGACATTATGTTGGCAATACAAAGTGCTTTCAAATTTTTTATGTAGAAAAGGCTTGTGTTGCCAACATAGTTACTGAATTTTTGACTTGATGGGGAATTACGGGAATTACCCGGAATTACCTATCTTTAAAAAAAAACAGACTTTATTTATCATTGAGATAGGTAAAGTCTTTTTTTTTTGTTAAAGATAATTCCACACTTTTGCATCATGTCTTCAACCATCGATCATAAGTACCTATATGGTTTTATATTATAATAGGAAAACCAAAACCAATAAAGTAAGTTAGAGGAGGTGGATAATCCGGGCACCAAGTTCTTGCAAATATAGGCTCTGTATAATAAAAATGTCTTGTTATATTGCACTTAGGGTGGGTATCATAAAACTACTTTGAGAGTTAACTTAAAGTTAATTTCTGAAAATACATGTAATTCAAAAAGTTAACTTCGAGTTAACTGTCAAAGCAGTTTTATAATACCCGCCCTTAACAGATTTCCTCTCACAAATACACCTTAAAGTACATAAAACTGTGAAACTCTGAAAAAACAGCAGACAGCACACGAATGAAAGATGAAGTTTGGCCAATGTGTGGCCGCCATGCCATCTCAATTCTTAAGCCGCTTTCCAGCTGACGCTTTTGAGCACGCAATCGAGCTTTTGCGCGCGCAAATGCTTCAAGCGTGTGTTCGTGTTCCAGCCGTACTGCGCTTCGAGAGCTGCTACCTTTTGCGTTTCAAACACAGAACACTGTGCTTCACCGTGCTTGAAGCACACAGCTGGAAAGCGGCTTTAAATGTCACGTGGTTTGGATTGCCTAATAGACTTTTTCGAATGCGTGATCCGAGATTTTGGACGCTGATTGGCTAGATTCCGGGGCCTCACTAGGGCCTTTGGATTAATCGTTTAAATTAAGCGCCGGTCGCCCAAATCGACGCCCCCATTTTGGCCAATCAGGGTCCAAAATCTCAGATCACGCACTCGAAAAAGTCTATAATCTTATGAACAGACTTTACACAGGATTGCCTATCGGCGTCGTTTTTGGGAATCAGGGCGATTGTGTAGTAGCACCATTGACGACGTTATCAACTACGTCGTCAACTGTTAAAAATATTATTTAATTTTGAAAAACATAGGTGGGTTCGGCTTGCTTACTCCGTGCACTCCGAGTGACTCCATTCGCACTCCAGCCGTTCGGAGCCGCTTTCCAGTATGGGAGTGTGACGCCCGGAGCTACTCGGGGCGTTGAGCCCCTGAGCTGTACGTACGCGTCAACCTATCAGCTGTCACATCCGCCGGTGGCTATTTATCTATTTATTTCTTGTTATATCTCAAGATTGAACATTTTAAAATATATAGTTTTGATTCTTTTTCATTTTTGATAAATAAAAAAACAAACTGCACAAACAAACAGATAATTATTTTTAAAATTTGACATATTTGACACTAAGACAGGCGTCTCACGCCATGATACTGGAACGGTACAAATCTAGTGCGTGGCGCCCCCGAGGTGCTCTAGAGCGCGCCAATGTGCATACTGGAAAGCGGCTCGGGTTAGGGTTCAGGTATTGCTTTTTACCGTATGTGTGTGTTTTTTTTTTAAAGATAATTCCCCAAGTCAAAAATTTAGTAACTATGTTGGCAGCACAAGCCTTTTCTACATAAAAAATTTGAAAGCATTGACAATTTTACATTGTATTGCCAACATAATGTCATTTTGACTTTTATCTTTAAAAAAAAAAACAGATTTTATTAGGGGTGACTCCATTAGCTCTGTTCACTCCACTCCAACTCCGCGCTGAATAGCCGAACCCAGCTATAATAGGCAAAGAGGATAATGCAAAAGAGATCTTAAAAAGCATTGTTTTAAAATGTTGATTAATGTACTAAAACCAAGTATGCATAAAGCAAAAGCCCCCGGAATCGTAGTGCAGACAGCCTACGTCAAGGCGAGAAACAACCCAGTGCTACGTCATCACTGGTTCTTTGGCATGGTCGGGGGCTTGACTGCTTGAGATTTGATCTACACAGGGCCTTATGACTATGAGGATAGGCTATCCTGTAGTAATAGTAGTTGTATTCCTTTCAAGAGTTTAAAACACTCGAGCTACTCGCTCCGGTGTTCAGTAGCCCCCGATTTACAGGGAACAGATGCGTGGTGCAGCAAACACTTTTCGAAAGGAATAAGCGCGTGAAGCCCCGGAGCTGTTCCGGAGCTCCTCCTAGGTGTGAAAGGAATACAACTAGTAGTGTGTAGTATCCTTCGAGTGTTTGCACCACAGGCTATGATTCCGCTTGCTTTTGCTATGAATACTTGGTTTTAGTACATTTATTAACATTCAGAAGAACTATTTTCTAGATCTCGTTTGCATCTTCCTCTTTGGGCCGGTTTATCAATAGTGATTCACCCCCGGGTTAAGCATAACTCCACTCCAGGGTAAACATTACAACTGGACTCGCTTACCTTAGAGTTAAAACCAACCCGGAGGTAACTCGCTATTTGTTGTATTCCTTTCACACCTAGGAGGAGCTCCGGAACAGCTCCGGGGTTTCACACGCTTATTCCTTTCGAAAAATGGGTGTTTGATGCACCACGCATCTGTTCCCTGCAAATCGGGGGCGACTAAACACCGGAGCGAGTAGCTCGAGTGTTTCAAACTCTTGAAAGGAATACAACTATTGAGAAACCGGCACTTTGCCTATTATGTCAATCAAAATTAAATAATATTTTCCATCATAAACTATTCATATTCTAAATAAGCGACGACCACTGCCGCAAACAGCTAACTACAACGTTGATGACGTCGCCAACGGTGCCGATCTTGATTCCAAAAATCGACGCCGATGAGCAATCTTGTAGTAGTAATAATCTGTAATATCCTTGGAAAATAACGCCTTTCTCTGTTATCGCATGAAAACTGAGTGAAACGCAAAATCAGTAACAAAGTTCGCTTTTATGGCAGTGGCAGTAGCTACAGTCCTTGCGTTCGGTATTTTGCTCAAAAAGCAGAGCGTGCTGAGCGGAGCCGTAATCACGTGACCAGTGAGCGCACAGAGCAGTTGAACGCTGTTTAAAAGTGCCAGAAATTTTAATAAACGAACGCGAATGAGGCTGCACCGAGTACACTTTTTAAATAAACGAACGGTAAAGTCAAGCTCGGAGAACTCGGACCAAAATAACGAACGCACGGAAAGGAGCATTAGCTATTTGTAGCAATTGCCACTGTCAGTACTGTCACTTTCCTGTTTATTTTTATTGTTTATAAAAAAAAAATTGCTATTTGATTAAATTTTCCTCCAATATTTTTTGTTGTTTTGTTTGAAAATTTTCAAATAGTTTCAAAACTATGGAAGACATTGAATGGAACGTAGTGAACGAGGGCCAATTGCTGGACGCAATGGTCGGCCACAAACCAGTTGGTAAGTTGTCCAGATTAAAGTTCTAGCCAACGATAATTCATGTTGTGTATGTAGGCGTGAACAAATACTTCCAAATGGCCCTGATTTGCGACAAATTTGCAACTAATTTACGCAAAGACGTCGATCCGCAGAAAATATGGGCCCACCTCGAAACCATGTACAATCTCGAGGCTTTGGACGAAAACGAGTCCATACCTTTTCCTAATACAGAGAAGGAATTTTCGTTGCCAGAGTCGGAGTTTGGCGAATTGTTGTTAAGCAAGAAAGAGGAAGATAAAAAGATTGAGACTGAAACAGTAAAAATAACCAAAGAATCAGTTAAAAAAGAAATTAACAAGAATACTAAAGATGCGACACCAAGGAGGGATAGTAAGGAGGGAGCTAAAGACAAAACTCCAGCTAATGTGAAAAAAGATTTGAAAAAAGAAGTCATGGAAAAAGGTGGTAAATCTGGCAAGGGTAGAAATGCAGCTACCCCTAAAGAGGAAAAAAGTACACCCAAACCTACTAAAAGAACTAGGGGGAGTTTGAGTTTGAAATCAAATGACGATTCGGGCTCTAGCGGCAAATCCAGTCCGATTACAGTCACGCCAGTTGTCAAGAGGAGGAGAGTTGTTTAAGATTATATTTATATAATATTGTTAATAGGGCATTAGTGACCAAAAAAGTATTGTCCGCAATTTTTGTTGTGTTGTACTGTACTCGATACTGTACCTATAGGTTATCCTGGATATAAATGCAAAACTTATTTCATTAAGGGCCAAATTATGGACTGACTGGTAAACGTCTGGTTGTTACCTAGCAGATACTATCTATGCTCTAGATAATAGAAAGTACCTGCTAGGTAACATCCAGACACTTAGGTAAGTGTCTTACCAGTTGGTCCCTTAAGGCCGTATCAGACGTGCCGTTGCCGATTCCTTTAGCCGTTGCCGTCGCGGTTTCAATCACACTTGACACCGTTCCGTTACCGATTTCTGGTCACTTGAAATGTTTATAACGTCAAAATGTCGCAGCTAAAATATTCAAAGTACAGCGCCGAACGTCGTCGGAAAGTTTCTTCTGCATTGTTGTGCTATATGATTATATTGGAAGAAGAGTAAAGAGAAAGATCCAAACCAAAATCGGTTTGGGTGCAGTACCAGAAGTGATAAATTGCAAAACTAAAAAAGTGACGTTTAGACAAATGACACATGCTGTTCATAAAGCACTTTCATTGGCTACGGTTCAGAACGGCCTCGTAAAATTTAGACTCCAACCTAAACAGACAACGGCAATCGCAACCAGAAGCAGGTACATTTTGATTGGTCGAATTTCCAATCGTAATCGTCAATAGTAATCGGCAACGGCACGTCTGATACGGCCTTTAGAGCCAAATTATGGTAAGTGTCTGGTTGTTACCTAGCAGGTACTTTCTATTATCCAGAGCATACAAAGTACCTGCTAGGTAACAACCAGACGTTTACCAGTCAGTCCATAATTTGGCCCTAAGGGCCAGTTCATTCACCTTCTGATAAACTGTCAGGTATGCAATCTGACGCATAGAAAAGCGATCAGGGCTGGACCTCTGTAACGAATAGAGATATTTTCTCTATCTCTATTGATGTCTCCTCTCGATTGATTTCAACAAGAAAGAAGAAGACAGCAAGTGCCATAGCGATAGGGATAATGATCCTTACCCGTTACGGAGTTCCAGCCCTGGTATCCCATTGTGGATAGACTTATAGATAGGTAAATTTATCTTGCAGATATTTACTGACAAAGGGCAATGGGGATCTTAAAAAGTTACTCCTCATTCTGCTGACTATTAGCTTTAAGTAGGTTAATCCAATCTCATACAATAAAACATTTCTGAACTTTAGAGAGTTAGTTTACCAATAGCTATTCTCTTTATCTACATTCTTTGGCAACCACACTTGAAAATTTGATTTTTTTTTCCTTATGCTGTGTACATGAATCAAATCTTCACCTGCTTGATTCAAATCCATGAAATGTTTTTTTTTTTTAAATCTCATTTAGCTCTTTATTTTTATTAAGTAGTCTTTATTTGTGTAGAAATATGTTAAATGGTCAAACCCTATCCACCTAATGACTTCTACACTGTTATTATTTGAATCAGCAATGTTAGAGTTTTATTATGTTTATAAAAACCCAAGATTGTTCATTATAGGCTCGATTATAGGTGTCGTTTATTGATAAACGTCATGGCCATTTTAACTGAAACGAAATATTGTTTTTAGTAGGGCTCGGAATTGTATTCGAATAATTCGAATATTCGACTATTCTAAATTCGACTTTTTTGTTAGTTAGCAAATTCGACTATTCGAATATTCGATTATTCGACTATTCGAATATTGGACTATTTAACAATGCAATTACTCACTTTTTGATTTGAATATATATTCAATTTAAAATTTCATTTGTTTCAAATCAAATCAAATCAAATTATGCTTTATTGTCCCAACTAAATTGTTATTGACAAAGCAGCCTTATTAACTAACATCAGTACTTATACTATGTCATAATCATAACATGAGAAAAAATCTTTTAAATGCCCTAAGTACTACATTACAACAATACTGTTCCTATCACAATCTACCATTATTATTGCCTTAAAAACTAAAAATCAGTCGTTTTCAGTCGTCCTTAAAAAATAAAACAAAAATAAAAAAAGTAAAAAATAGACAACGGACTCAGAAGTTTGAACAATAAAACAAATTAACAACTATAACGCACACTACAAACAGAACAATCCAAAAAAAAAAAAAATCTAAAACCTGTCCGCCAGAAATTCATCAATTTCGTAATATGTCTTTTGGGCAAGCAGCGCCTTGACGCCCCTACGAAACTGTCGTTCAGTCTTTATTTGTTTAAGACCCGACGGCAAATGATTGAACAACTTGCGACTTCTGAAAATGATAGAGTCTCTTACCTGGCTGGACGTGGGTATAGGAAGGCTAACATCATTTTTCTGTCGAGTGTTATGGGTTGTATGCGATATGAATATACTGCTTTTGTGTTTCCTGTGAATTAAGCAGACCGATTCCAACACAAATAATGCAGGGAGAGTCAAAATATTTTTAGAAATGAATAGCGGCCTGCAAGAATCGCGTGGGTTGGCTCCACATAAATATCTAATTGCTCTCTTCTGCAGCAAAAAAATGCCATTAAATAACTGCTTAGAGCAAGTACCCCAGAAACACAGCCCATACCTCAAATGAGACTCTATCAGAGCAAAATAAGTATTTCTGGCAATACATGGTTCCAGTTCCCTAGAAATAACTCTAAGTGCAAAACAATTAGATGCCAACCTATTCCTCAAACACTTCAAGTGTGCTTCAAATTTCAGACGATTATCTATCCAGAGACCCAAAAATTTATTTTCCACAGATGGAGTTAATAAACTGTCATTCAGACTGATGTCAGTAAGGTTACATCTAAAATTCATTACATTTGTTTTAGAAATATTTAATGTCAGCCCATTAGCGTCACACCAGTGTTTAATCACACCTATGTCATTACTGACCGCATCCCGTAATCTAGAGCTGTCAGAATTATGCCACAATATTGTTGCGTCATCAGCAAACAAAGTGAAATTGCCAGAGATATCAAGGCCTGCGAAGTCGTTGACATATAACAAAAATAAAACTGGACCCAAAACAGAACCCTGAGGAACGCCACAATTCAACACTTGCTCGCCAGACATTGAACCATCAAAAGAGACCCTCTGTGTCCTGCCTGACAAATAACTCTCGAACCAGTTGAGAGCGTTTCCTCTAAATCCGTATGATTGCAGCTTCCACAACAATTTCCCATGATCAACACAGTCAAATGCCTTTGACAGATCACAGAAAACCGCTGCTGCCACATCAGCATGGTTAAGATTCAGGTACAGCGATTCCAGAAACGAGAAAATGGCATCACTAGTCCCCTTGGAGGTCTGAAACCCAAACTGCTCTTGCGCTAGAATGTTGTTTTTTTCTAAGTATCCAACAACACGCTTCTTAACAATCTTTTCAATTATTTTGCCAAGCGTTGGCAATAGTGCCACAGGTCTATAATTTGAGGGACACTCCTCATCACCCCCCTTAAATATTGGAATTATCGTTGCCAATTTCAAGCTTGTGGGGAATACCCCCGTACAAAATGAGTGGTTTATGCAACTCACCAAAACCTCACGAGCTTGCATAGGAAGTTTCAAAAATAACCTTATTGATATTTCGTCCCAACCCGAAGCAGCATTTAATTTGATGTCCTTAAATATAGTATTCATTTCGAATATGTCAGTAGGAGCAAGAAAAAAGGACCCTGAGGGTGGTTCATACTTAAAGAAATACCTATGATCATAAGTAGCCCGAATTTGGGAAGACAAACTTCCTGCAACATTACAATAAAAATCATTTAATTTGGCTGATGTAAGTTTAGACCCTGAATCTTCACATTTACTACCTTTCCCCCGAAGCTCGTTAACGATCTTCCAGGTTTCCCTTTGTATATTCCTAGATCCCGCAATTCTATCATGATAATAGTTCTGCTTGGCTATTCTGATTGTTTTTCTATATACCTTCCTATATTTATTAAAGTAAGAAATAAATAGTGGATTGTTCATGCTAAACTTCCTAATATAGTGCAGTGATCTCATGTTTTTTGCTGATATCTTTATGCCTTTTGTGAACCAAGGCTTATCAATTTTCTTTTTCTTTTTTAAAACTCTTAAGGGGAATGCTCTATCGAAATGCTTATATAATAATTTATGAAATTCTCCCAATGGTTCAAAATTATTCAATACCAGCTGCCAATTTTCGCCGATACACAATTGCAGAAATGTTTCATAATTATTTTTGCAGTAGACCCTTCCCTTCTTGAACCTTTTTGCATTCTCATTTTTCTTTCTTATTGCAAATGTACAATAAATTGCCTCATGATCTGAGACTCCCGCATTCACAACCTGAACTTGAAAACTGTTTGATTCCACATTGCTGCATACATAATCTATGAGAGTGGCTGAATGTGGAGTGATTCTTGTAGGATTCTCAACAATTAAGTTAAGGTCAAAAGAGGACAAGAGATCAGATAATAAAACCGTATTAGGATTCATTGGCTCCAAAAAGTTTACATTAAGATCACCACACAAAATAATGGTAGAAGTTGATTCCAAACCCAACAATAAAATCTCAAGTTTGATCAAAAAATCGCCTAAAAAACTGCTTGGAGAGCGATACATGCACAAAACATAGAGATTGAGTTCTTTACAGAAAATCATAGAAAACTCAAATTCCCTTTCCTCCAACAAATAGTCAAATTTATCTACATTAACAAAACACCACAATTCCAAAAACTCGTCCCTAATAAAAAACATTGTCCCTCCATGCTGCACAGTAGGTCGACAATAGCTACTCAATACAGTATAATTTGGCAAATGAACTGGCTCATTGGGCCTAAGCCAATGCTCACAGAGCAATACTAAGTCTGGATTTCGTAAATGATCCAAAAAAACCAGAAATTCATCCACTTTATTGCGAAGAGACTGCACATTCAGAAGGACTAGAGAGAAGCTGTCCGAGTTAAGCCCGCACCTAAAAAAAAATGACTCTTCACGTTAATTTTCCAAGTCCTGCTGATATGAATCAGACTCTACCCTGTCCAATGTATCAAGATTATTGATCATTTCACACCCCTTATAGCACTCCTGTTCACCATTCACCCCATTCTCCTGTAGCTCTCTCCGCTCATTCACACTACTTGACCTCACTCTGCCAGAGACAAGAATCAAGTTGGATCTAGCTGCAACTCTAAAATTTAAAACTCCTTCCCCTATCTTTTTTGCCAACTTATATAATCCTGTTTTTTTTAAATAAGGTGACAAATTCCAATACTTATAGCTATCAAATGATCCGTTTGATGACAATAGGCTGACGTTATGATTATATCTAGAAAGCTTACAAACTAAATTACCTAATTCTATATTATATGGACATGAAACATAACTATTGATACCTGTTGGAGTAGTACATACCAATAGGTTGGTTTGGAAACATTTTTTAGCAAATAGGTTGATGTTGTGTTTCTTAATTCCCTTCCCTTCAATATTTGAATTTGAATGATACAATATACGATGTGTTTTCGGTGAAAATCAGCTTTCAATAAATATAATGCATTTTTGTTCGTAATGTAAATTTAACCCTCTGTAAATTTGCCATTTAGAAAACATCTAAATTATTTTAGTTTTTCTGACTGCAATACTCTGCATAAAAAATCAACAAATTCGCTTCGTCGTAGAACGTTCTTTTGCGGAAAGTAAAAACTCTTATTAAGAATGGTTGTTATGTTAGTCGAAAAACGTCATTTTTAAAGTCCCATTTTGTTCTCTTAATTAGGCCCTCTATCAATATTTGACTATTGGAATATTAGACTATTCGAATATTCGACTTTTTGACTACATATTCGAATATTCGACTATTCGAATATCAGACTATTCGAATATTCGACTATTCAAATAGGTATTCGACTATTCAAATTATTCAACTATTCGAATAAAATACCAAACGACTATTCGAATACTTGAACTTTAAAAATTCCGAGCCCTAGTTTTTAATTTAGTGTGTTTTAAAAAATTCATGTTTTCATAATAATATTATTATAATAGGTAGTTTACTAATTACTATCCTAAGTATAATGATTAGAAAAGTGTAGAAAATAAGCATTGTTGATGTGTGTAATTTGTTATGTTCAATGATCTTATGGGGTTGTAATAGCTGATTGTCAATTTTCAATAATTAACCAGGCCCCTGAAAGATAGGTATCAAAAATTAGCTGTCATGTTTGTTATAACCGAACAAATATTACATATTATGAATATGTATGTCCTTTCTGACCAACTGTGCATTATTCCCACGTTTGACCCTATTTAGATGTTGGCACTAAAGATTACAGGTATTATAATATGTATGTTCTGGTTGTTTTTGTATATTTATATCCGGGAGACACTGTATTTAATGTGTTTAGATAAGAAAATTTCTTAGGACAAGCAGGGTAAAAAAAAATATCTTAGACCTATATCAACTATTATTAAGTTAGAGTTATATTTAGGTAATAAGAAATTATAAATTCAAACAAAAATAAATACGCTTTCACTCCTAATTTATCTTTGTAACCTACAGAAAAACGCATTTTTGGATTCTTTTACGTCATTTCGGAAATATTTATCATAAAAATCTAGAACTACATTTTCCACTTTGAATCCAAATTTCTGATACAAAAACAAGGCTGGATTGTCTATGGAAACGTGAAGGGTTATGTCTCTTCCTAAACTTGTCTGAAAAAAAAGAAGCAAATTCTTAGTGTTAGCGGTTATCATTTTTCGGACATTTTGACTTTCCTTTTCTACCATTAATAGAAGTTTGTTATTTTACTTATTTTCGAGACTATCGGATCAATTCCGTGCACATCTGTAAGCAATTAATTTCTATAAAGAATAATTTTTTTACCTGAATCAAATGATAAATCATAAACTTTCCGATCCCACAATTTCTCCATCCGGGCCTAGTGAATACAAAAGAAATATAATTTTCCGTATGTTGCACATCAGGAACCAAAAAGGCGTATCCAATAATCAACCTTTTATAGAGTGCAACGCAGCTGAAATCTGGATACTGCAACGATTCAGTCACGTCAATTCCTGGCCAAAAAAAATGATTGCACAAACTGTTAATTGCGGGAATATGTTCTGGTTGGACGTAAGTGTATTCTATGCACGAGCGAGGTGGTAGCTTAAAGTCCGGATTGTTTTTGTTTGCCGAAATCTGAATTTCTGCCATAAGTTTCAACCTTGAAATTAAATCAATAAGCTCAATACTTATTTTTTCAAATTATTGCGTACCAGTTAGGAAATGTCTCTGAATCCCTTCGAATATAAGGTTTCAAATAAATGCCACTGTAAGGAGATAAAATCATTTCTTTTCTTATGCCTCCAGTTAATTTTACTGCCATTTTTACCATCTTCATTCGAGAAATATCTATAAAAAACCCAAAATAAACCAAATTAAAAAAAAAATCACACAAACTTACTATTCAAAGATGTGTTATAATAGCACATGGCATCTAACAATCTAACAGGCACTTTTGGCGTTTCCTTCATTTGATTCTCAACTTTGGGCACTATTATTGGTTCTGCGGGTGGTGCAATTTCTTGTACTATTGCAGGTTCTTCAAATAAAGCAGGTAGGGCCATTTTTGCAGAAAGTTTTATTAATCTGGAAATTGAAGACTTTTATTATCAAAACAATTCACAAAAAAAAACAGAACTAGTAGTTGGGGAGCTGGCGTCAAAAACATGCAAGAGTTTTCGCAAGGCGGATATTTTCAAAATAGGTCGTACTTTAGTGCTAGAATGCTTGTACAGTCAGCACTCACAGTTCCGGGACAGCTGGCTCTGGGACGCGGGCAAAGTTGTAATTTTAAGAAGCATCTAAACTGTGTTCTCAAAGCTCAAAATTTATAGAAATTTTGCACATTATCTGTTTGAAGGTCACAGATAACGTATGTAAATCGTCAGACGTCTAGTTCGTTGCAAAAAGGGGGTCAGACGTCCTCAAAGTTTTCTGTGGTTTTTATTTTATGGCATTTTTTTCGGTGTCCTGTCAAAATATATTTTTGCAGGTATTTGACAAATATAGTTGAAGAAAATGCCATAAAATAAAAACTTTGAGGACGTCTGACCCCCTTTTTGCAACGAACTAGACGTCTGACTATTTACATACGTTATCTGTGACCTTCAAACAGATAATGTGCAAAATTTCTATAAATTTTGAGCTTTGAGAAAACAGTTTAGATGCTTCTTAAAATCACAACTTTGCCCGCGTCCCAGAGCCAGCTGTCCCGGAACTGTGAGTGCTGACTGTACACTAGCATTCTAGCACTAAAGTACGACCTATTTTGAAAATATCCGCCTTGCGAAAACTCTTGCATGTTTTTGGCGCCACCTCCTGGACCCTGGACTATAGGTTTTGAGATCTGTAAAAACCTACAGAAGACCTTCTCTTCAACTAGCAATCATTATGGAATCCATATTTAAAGAAACATGGCGGATATCCTAGAAAGAGTGCAATGCAGGTTTATCAAGGTAACATCTACTCTAAAACATGGAACGACTATTAGACAGATTTACATTATTTGATAGTAGAAAAAGAGATAGATACACTTTGAGTAAAATGATCCCAGCATAGGTATGCTTGCTCCAGGGAAATAGAGAAGATGGTTCAGGAAGTTTTAAAGGTTGCCACCTATGTAAAGTTGCCAGCAACAAAATGTTTACAGTCAAGTCAACTAGTTCATTACTAGTGATGAATATTTTGAAATGAATCACAATAACTATTTTTGGGTTCGAAAAAAGGACGGTTCAAAACAATCGCACAATTCATCATTGAAATTTGTGATAGCTGAGCCGTTGCCATTTTGTTGATTGATGAACTGTGCGATTGTTTTGAACGGCTCTAGAACCGTCCTTTTTTCGAACCTGAAAATAGCTAATATCATAAACCACAATGTATCTTCTTTCACTGGTGTAAAGTTAGCAGCCAAAACTTGGCAGCCAATTTGACGGAAACACCCGAAGGACCATTGGCTTAGCATTTTTTTTTTATGCAAAATAAATTCTATAAATCATACTCAGATATCGAGTCTAGCCATAAAGTTGATACTTGATAGAGCACTATTCCAACATCTTTTTCAACCCCTATGCAAAATCCCATTGACTCGAACCCCGTCAAAATATGAAAAACTATCCTCAACAAATAAAAATGCCTAAATATTGAGATTTTTGTTTTTTCTCAACTCAGGCTTCGAGTCATGCCATGAAATTAATAGGGTACTAATCTAACACCATTTCGCACCCCCATGCAAAATCCCATTGACTCAAACCCCCTCGAAGTACGTACGAAACGCTACCCTCAACAAAAAAAAATGCCTAAATATTGAGATTTTCGTAATTTTCCAACAAGAACTCCGAGTCTTGCCATGAAATTAATAGAATACTATTTCAACATTATTTACAACCCCCATGCGAAATCCCATTGACTCAAACCCCATCGAAACATGAAAAACTACCCTCAACAAGTGAATATGCATAAATATTCAGATTTCAGTATTTTTTGCCAACTCGGACTTCGAGTCTTGCCATGAAATTAATGGGGTACTATTCTAACACTATTTCCAACCTTCATGCAAAATCCCATTGACTCAAACCCCGTCGAAATATAAAAAACTATCCTCAACAAGTAAAAATGCATTAATATTCAGATTTTAGTATGTTTTTCCAACTTGGACTTCGCGTCTTGGCATGAAATTAATAGGGTACTACTCCATGCGAAATCTCATTGACTCAAACCCCATCGAAATTTGGAAAACTACAATTAAAGGTAAAAATGCATAAACATTAATATTTTCGTCTTTTTTTCCAACTCGGACTCGGAGTCTTGCCATGAAATTAATAAGGTATTCTAACACCATTTTCACCTCATTTAATTCCATGGCAAAAAAAAAAAAAAAAAAAAACGAAAATTTGAATATTTATGCATTTATTTGCATATTTCGACGAGGTTTAAGTCAATGGGATTTTGCATGGGGGTTGGAAATGGTGTTAGAATAGTACCCTATCAATTTCATGGCAAGACTCGAAGTCCGAGTTGAATAAAAAGATGACAATCTGAATATTTGAGCATTTTTACTTGTTAAGGGTAGTTTTTCATGTTTCGACCAAGTTTGAGTCCATGGGTTTTCGCATATGAGGGTTGGAAATGATGTTGAAATAGTATTATATAAACTTCATGGTAAGACTTGAAGTCCGATTTGGAAAAAATTACGAAAGTCTCAATGGTAAATGGTAAATGGTTTTATATAGAACAGCACCTAGATGCAGAGCATCTGTATGTGCTTCTAACTTACTTCATATATATATGTTATTTCCATAGGAATACAAATTTTTCGAATGCTGAGAATTTAAGTATGTACGTTATTGTCATCAAATCAAAGCAGTTTTTCAAACAAAATCCGATTTGTCCAAACGAATGCCTTCGATCTTTTTGAAAACAGTTTTGGTTTTACAACATTCTTCACCTCATTGGGTAATAGGTTGTAAACCTTTGGACCCATGAAACCAATTGAGCGTCTATAAAATTCGCTTTTACATTCCGGAATCCTCAAAAGCTGATTTATGCGAAAGCGGGTGTTTTGATTATGTAACACAATAGGCTGCATCTTGCGGTGTTTATGAATGTAACAACTAACTGAGTGGAAGAATAGAGTTCTCAAATTTACTATTTCCTCAGTATATAGCATATTTGTGGGATACAGATGATCTTTTTTATAAATTATTTTTAAAATTTTATTTTGAACAATTTGTAGCGGCCTCAGCGCATTTCCATACATCGAACCCCAGATCGTGATACCATATGCTAACAAAGATTCCACCAGACTCCGATACAGTGTGACCAACATGTTTGATGACAAAATATTTCTAAGAATATAGAACCTATAAGTCAGAGATCTCATTTTTTTAGTCAGATATTCAGCATGAGCATTCCACTTCAAGTAACAGTCAATCATAACTCCAAGGTATTTAACGTGAGTGACCTCTTCAATTTTCTCGTTTACGTCTATTTCTATTTGGTTAAAAAGAGGGCGATTCAAATCAACTTTAGTAAGAGCCAAATAATTTGTTTTTTTTAACATTAAGGGATAATTTGTGTATATTAAGCCATCTTTTAATTTTTATAAGGCCATTTGTTGCATTTATTCTAGCTTCTTTCCAAGAGGATCCATTGAAAATGATGGCCGTGTCATCCGCATATGACACAATCTCACCCTCAATCCCAATGTTCTTAATTGAGTTAATGTAAAGATTAAATAAAATGGGCCCGAGAACTGTGCCTTGCGGAACACCTATATTTATTGTTCGTGGATCACTGATTGTGTCGCGTATTCTAACCCGCTGCTGCCGTCCAGTCAAGTAGCTCTCAAACACCCTCCACACAGTTCCCCTAACACCACTATGTTCAAGAACATCAAGAAGTATTTTATGGGAAACTGTCGAAAGCCTTCGCGAGGTCCAGGAACACCACCAGGCATTTTTTGTTCTCATTAATTATATTTGTGGCTTCTCTTATCAGACAACACATTGCATCATTGGTGCTAAGACCCTCTGTAAACCCAAATTGATTTTTTGACATTAGATTATTTAGTTTGATGAAGCTAACTAGTCTGAGTTTTAAAGTCTTTTCAAAGAGTTTCGCAAAATTATTAATTAAACTTATTGGTCTATAATTACGTATGATATTGTGTTTTCCAGATTTGTATATAGGGGTAATAATTGATTTTTTAAGTGGTGAGGGCACAACACCCGTCTCGTATATTAAATTGAATATATGCATAAGGGGTTTCAGTAAATAGTTATGAAATTCTTTTATAGTTTCTACAGTTATTGCGTCACAACCTGGAGCACTGTTTGACTTTAGACTATTGATATGTTGGATGAGTTCATTTTTAGACACTGGTGAGAGAAACATTGATTTGCTTGTTGAGGCTAGCCTAGACTGTTCTACAATGTGAGGAATTTGGTCGCTCATTTCAATTGCTATCCTAGAAAAATATCTGTTACAGAAATTGGACATATCTAGATCATTTTCAAAAGTTTTGTTATCATTGTCAACTATATTTAAGGCTTCGCTGCATTTTTTCCCCTGATTCGTTGCCTCGGCTATCAATTTATAGATTTTTTTTTGTGTCATGCTTGTTTTGTTCAATTTTTGTTTTATAGTATTGATTTTTTGTATTATCTATCAGTTTTTTTAATGCATTGCGATAGGTTTTATACTCAATGGCCTTTTCTTCAGTGGAATGTCTTTGCAATTGTTTTTTCAACCTATCCCTCTTTCTAATAATTGATACAATTAAACCTTGAGTTATCCATGGCTTTATTTTTCTAAACATTTTTTTGAATTTTGACTGTTTTGCAGAGAGAATAGTAATTTTGAAATTTATTCAAAAATTTTTGATAAGCTAATTCGGGTTCATTTGTGTTTAAAATTTCATTCCAACATTCACTCTTCAAAAGATCATGAAGCTTATTTTTGTTGACTGCAGTGATTTTTTTAGTAGCTCTTGAAGGCAGGTTATTATTGTTATGATTTGATATATTTAATACTGTTGGATAGTGATCCGTAATATCATGAGATACCACATATGAAGAAAAAGACAT